CTCGCTACCCAATCCCATGCACCGACGACCTCCTCGACCAACCTCACAGCGCTCGTTATTTCTCGAAAATTGAGTTACGTGGCGGTTACCACCAGATTCGAGTCTTCGCCGACGACTGTCACAAGACTGCGTTTCGCACACGCTACGGGAGTTACGAATTTACAGTGATGCCTTTCGGCCTCACGAACGCGCCTTCGACATTTCAACTCACCATGAACAGGGTTTTTTGGGATCTTCTAGACCGATGTGTCATCGTCTACTTGGACGATATCATGTTTTTTAGCAAGACAAGGGAGCAGCACCTCCGCGACCTGGATGCAGTGTTTAAGCGGTTGCAGGAGAACCGACTCATCACCAAGGACTCTAAGTGCGAGTTTTTTTAGCAGGAGTTGGAGTTTTTGGGGCACGTCATCTCACGCGACGGCATTAAAATCGACCCGGCGAAAATCAAGACCATACAGGAGTGGAAGTCCCCGACGAATGTCACGGAACTTCAGAGTTTTCTCGGATTCGTGAATTACGTCAGGCGGTTTATCCCGAATATGGCGGGGATAACCGGCCCGCTGACCGACTTGATGCACAAGGACAGGAATTTTGTGTGGGGGGGGGAGGCAGAAGCGGCTTTCCAGGAACTGAAGAATTTTCTCGTTTCCCCTCCTGTACTGCGCATCGCCGACCCATCGAAGCCGTTCGAATTCGTCACCGACGCCTCAGATTTCGCCATCGGAGCTGTGCTACTCCAAGACTTCGGGAACGGGTTGCGGCCGATCGCCTACGAATCACGCAAGCTGCAGGTAGCCGAACGCAACTACCCGATCCACGACAAGGAGATGCTCGCCATAATACATGCGTTCAAACAGTGGCGCTGCTACTTGGTGGGCGCCGACGTCACTGTTCGCACAGACCACAAGTCCCTACAGTACCTGCAAGCCCAGCCCAACCTCAACCCGTGACAAATTCGATGGCTGGACTACATGGAGAGCCACTTCATCTACCGCATCACGTACAAGAAAGGGGCGAATAACATCGCCGACGCCCTGACCCGACCGACAGTACAATCCGCTGCAGTACTCAACACCCATTCGAACCCGTTACTTACCGGACTAGTCACCCATGGCTACACTACGGACCCGTTCTTCACGATTGGGAACCATCAGCAGGCCACGACAAAGAAAGGGGACTATTACCTAAAAAGTCGGAACCGACCGGATTTGGGTTCCCGCTTACAGGCTGCTGCGTGAACTCCTTATCCAACAGGTCCACGATTCGAACTTCTCCGGACACTTCGGGGTTGACAAAACCCAGAAATTACTGCACCGCCAATATTACTGGCCTGGCTCCTCTAACCACGTGCAGCGATATGTGTCCTCATGCAGGGTGTGCCAAGCCATGAAATCGACACGTCAAGGACCAGCTGGGTTGCTGCAACCCCTCGAGCCACCCGAACGACCGTGGCAGCAGGTGACAATGGACTTTGTCATGGGGATGCCAGTTGGGCCGTCCGGCATCGACGCTGTACTCGTCGTCGTCGATCACTTCACAAAGATGGCGCACTTTGCCCCATGCCGAACAACAATCACAGCCGAAGAAACTGCGCGCCTCTTCATCTCGACGGTCGTGCGACTGCACGGCATTCCTTCGGCGATCATCAGCGACCGAGATCCGAAGTTTACATCGAAATTCTGGAAGGAGACGTGGGCGCAGTACGGCACGAAACTACAGTTCTCATCAGCATATCACCCACAGACGGACGGCCAGACCGAGCGGACCAATCAGACCATGGAGCAGCTGATCAGGGCAAACTGCCCCGACCCTGCCCGCTGGGAAGAATCTCTCGCCATGTAGGAGTTCGCCTTCAACAACGCGCCGTCCAGCACGACTAATCACTCCCCGTTTTTCCTGAATTACGGGATGGACCTGACGGTTCCTACAGCGAATTCTCTCGACAACCCAGTCCCGGGGTCACAAACCTTTGTGACGGAACTTCAGGAAGCCCGAGAAAAAGCCGCAGATGCAATTCGCAAGGCGAATATCACTTCCCGCAAATACACCGACCTTCTACGCCGGGAACTCGTCTTGACCACTGGGCAACTAGTGCTACTTGACACGAAGAACCTGCACCTGCCCGGCCCGTCGAAACTACGGCCACGATTTTGTGGGCCATTCAATATTATCAAGATTGTGACACCTGTCACCGCGAAGCTACTGCTACCCGACGACTGGCGCATTCATGACGCCTTCCACGTCAGCCTGCTTCGCAAATTCGTGCCAGCCACAACTGACATCGCGAGGCAACAAGCTGCCCCAACTGCACGATCTGTCCCGGTGCCAACTCTTGACCCTTCGAAAATTTTGGCCCAACGAGTTCGCCACGTGGATTTCCTAGTCCATTGGACCGATCGCACCAGTGAAGACAACACGTGGGTGCACTTCGACTCGCTGGACGCCTCGTCACTTGTTGGTGATTACTTGGCGCGCAGGCGTGTTTCGGATATTGACCGGGGGGGGGGGTGGTGTAAGAAATTTTCCCGAATTCCTTATCGGGGTTGACTGCTTTGCGTACAGCCCGATTTTCGGACTTCGCACGTTCGGCCGATTTCAATGCTGCCGAGGCTCCTCGCGTCGCCTTCGGCATTTTCCCATCGCCAAACCTGCACCCAACCTCGCTCGTCCGAGGTTCCCTCCTAGCTAGGCTAGTCCCTACATTAATCTGTGCCTGCATTGCATTCTCAGATCAGTTAATCACAGTCTCGTTATTCGTTTGCCTGCGCACTTTCTTTGACAACTCATAAGAGGAAGATTCACGAATTCTATAGTATTGTAGAGAGTTCTTTAGATGGAGCCATCTGCTCTTGGAAGCTAGCAGAGAAAGGAGCAGTGATTTCGGATCATGTAGGCCCTGTTCGGTAGCCCAGCAAGTCATACTGCGGCTGGTACGGGGGATCTTCCTCGCCCAAATTCGAACCCTGTTAAAGCCCACCAAATCGTTATTAGAACACCAGACCTGCCCAGTGTGACTTGGCTTCCGAACGCGTAAGAAACCCAGACAGAGTGAGGGCGAGGACACTTACTACGAAATTGCGAGCACAGGCAAACTCGACCATCAGTGAAACTCTAACCCATTTCTGCTTTCTAGTTCCACCCAGGCAGGCCTGCTCCGAGTGGCATGCTGAAGGGTATACGTCTCGTTAGTGTCTTTTTGGGTCAAATTAATACATTTTGATCCGTTTGTTCAAAGGTGAGAGATCGTGCCCGTTCATATTTTTCATTTTTCCATATCGAGGGGTTTCTATTTGTCGGGCTGATTTTTTGTTTGTTGATCGGGCAGCCTCGTACAGAAGTGGAAAAATGTTCTGGAAATTTCTTCATAAACACATGGTAACTTCTTGCAAATACGGACGAGACTTCCTTCCAGTGTGAGTGGAGGCCCGAGGCTACAAAACAAATCGTAGGCTTCCCCAGTTCGAGTGCGCCCAGTGTGACTGGAAGGCTACCGAACAGGGCCGTAGTCTAGACAGCGGCGCCCTCATTCCGGTTTCGTGCGCTTTGATTCTCCTCGCCTTGCTTTCTCTTCGCAGCCATTGTTCCCGTCTTCCTCACTTCCCAACTTCCTCGCCTCTGCTCTTTGTCTGCTCCAATGCCTGGCTTCAGCAAGCCAAGTTGCCGTAGCTCCATTATTCTCCTCGTCATCCTCTTCTCCCTCTTGCCGACTTTTAATGTGTCGCTGACAATGTCGCCGCTGGCGGTAGTAACCACGTCGCCGGTAACTGCGGCGACGGCGGCGAAAGTCATCGGAGCAGAGAGACTTGCATACAAGTACGTGGATCCGAACGAAGAGGAAAATTTTAAGCTCCGTTAGGCAAGATTAAAGCCACAGTTCAGGCCTACGGTGCCAACGCTCCGCAAGACACTAACGGCGCCCGTTGCACGTGGATGACGTGTCCGGTGCGAAAGCGGAGATGACTAAGCTGGGTGTGACTGTAGCGATCGTGGATGGAATAGCGGCGGGCGAAAGCGTTCGCGAAGAGTTCAAGGCGCATGGCGACATGCCGAATTTTCGTGCTCGTCAGGGAAGGGAAATTCAACCAATCACTGATTGTGAGCAGAAATGTTGCATTCAAATAGACCAGCCAATCAGAGGATAGGATCTACCTGGAAAGTGACTGTCGTGCTCGGTAAGGTCATTATAGGGGGCTATAAATGTAGTGACTTGGTTAAGCTCTCCACTTTCAAGGGCCGCAATAGTCCGCGTAGAGGTGACGTGGCAAGGCTATCCATCCAGGGACATTGGAGGTGCATATTGGATGCGAAACTTCGCTCGTAAAACTTTATTTCGGCTCCTCCAAAGGCGAGACTAGGATTTCCAAGGCGCCTCAAAAATCCTTACAGGAACATTGGAGGTGCATATTGGTAGTGAATGTGCTTTTAAATCAGCTCAAAGGCGCCTTTGAAACCCATCCGGGGACATTAGAGGTGCATATTGGTAATCAATTTCGCTCATAAAAACTCTACCTTGGCTCGTCCAAAGACAAGGCTATGACATTCAAGTCCCATGCAAGTCGCAGCTCAACACCTTTGTAAAGAAGCGGCAGGGCCTGTCAGTCACTCATCTCCATAATGAAAGCAGCTATGCAAAAATTCACGCAGTGACCGACAGTTCGGTCATTTTACCCTAACCTTCTCCTCTCCCTCGCTCCCTCTCTCCAATCCCAGTGTCGAGCTCATCACCTTAGAGAAGAAGTGGCTGAGCCTGCGACCTGTTAGTCACTAACCCACCTCCATTGTCAAGGCAGCTCTAAAACGTTCACTTAGTGATTCACTGTTCTGTCCTTTTAACCTGCTCCTCTCCTCCCCTCCTCTCCTCCCCTCCTCGCCTCCCCCTCCCCTCCCCAACCCCAGTAGCGACCTCATCTACTTTGTGAAAAAGCGCCTGGGCCTGTTCACTCACCTCCATACTGATGGAAACAGATATGCCAGAGTTCAACCAGTGCCTAACAGCTTTATCCTTTCACCCATTTTTCTCCTCTCATTGCCTCTCCTGTTCCCTCTTCCTCCTCCTCCCCTGCCACTGCTTCATCTACCACAGCTGCCACCACTCCTGCTCCTCCTCCTGCCATGTCTCCTGCTTTCACTCCCTCTTCTTCTCCTGCTCCTACTATCACCCCGTTTCCTGCACCTACCCCCACTCCTACTCTTATGGTCCCTGTGTCTCCTACAGCAGTCCCTGCTATCAGCACCACAGCCACTATAATTCCTCCTCGCATTGCTGCTACCCCCGTAGCGCTTTCCGCCATTGTCGCTCCTATTACTGATGCAGCTACCATTGTTCCCCCACAACTTGCCACTTACTCTACAGCAACCCCTTCATTTTCCTCCCCATCTCTCACCCTCAGCTGCGCAAACTTTCCTCATCCACCACCCCTTTCCCCCTCTGCTCCCCAATCCCCTCCCCACTCCTCTCCCCCTCTTCACCGCGCCCCATCCACCACACCATCCACACCCCTGGTGAGTGAAAGTGCAACAGCACAACACCGACCCTCACAGGCTCTCAGCACGCACTCACGGTCGCAGGTGCAGCACCAACAGCAGCGACAACAGCATCAGCAACACCGGCAACACCAGCAGCAGCAAAACCACCAATACGAGCTCCCGCCCTTTGCTGACTTCCCTGCATCTACCTCAAATAGCACGTGGGTTCACGCTTCTGCTGGTGCTGCTCTTTCCGAAATGCATGCATGCATGCTGCTGCTGCTGCTGCTGCTGCTGCTGCTGCTGCTGCTGCTGCTGCTGCTGCTGCTGCTGCTGCTGCTGCTGCTGCTGCTGCTGCTGCTGCTGCTGCTGCTGCTGCTGCTGCTGGCAGTGCTGCTCCTGCTGCTGTTCCTGGAACTGCAGCCAGCTCCGCTGCTGCTGCTGCAGTTGCCCCTGCACTTGCATGGAACGTTTCTGTGACCGCTGTTGGTGGGAATTTGGCAAGGAAGGGCCCACCGCAAGTGGGAGAGTGGGAGATGAAGCAGCTGCAGCTGCAGCAGCAGCAGCTGGGGCAGAGGCTGAGGAGACAAGTGAAGGGTCAGAGGAAGGATTGGAGGGAGATGGCGGAGGGAAGGGGGAGAAGAAGGGGCAGAGGGGGAGACTGACGAGGCGGATGAGGAGGAGGAGCTGAGGAGGAGCTGAGGAGCCGAGATTGACTATGAGCAACATGTAAGTTCGTGTGTGTGTGCGTGCGTGTGTGTGTGTGTGTGTGTGTGTGTGTGTGTGTATGTGTGTGTGTGCGTGCGTGCGTGCGTGCGTGCGCGTGTGTGTGTGTGTGTGTGTGGTGTGTGTGTGCGGTATGTGTGTACGGTGTGTGTGTGCGGTGTGTGTGTGCGCTATGTATGTGCGCTATGTGTGTGCGATGTGTATGTGCGGTATGTGTGTGCGGTGTGTGTGTGTGCGGCCTGTGTGTGTGTGGCCTGTGTGTTTGCGGTATGATGGAGAATGACTCTCAATAGCAGCAGTTACATGCAATCAAGTGATGAGTCTGCGCAATCATCATAAACGGGAAATTACGTGCTTTCTTCTCCCCCTTCCCCCTTATGTTACCCATCAACACCTGCCCTCCCCATCGCCCTTTCTACCCTTTCCCCCTCCTCCTTTCTGCCCCCCTACCTCCCCTTTACCTCTCTTCACCTGCCCCCCTCAGGCGCAGCAGGCAGAGGAGAGAGCCCTGTAGTGGTGCCATGCAACCATAGAACTCACCTCTTTCCCCTACCTGCCCCCTGCGTGATACCCGCCTGCCCCCTGCCTGACCCCACCTGGTCTCAATAGGCGCAGCAGGCGGAGGAGAGAGCCCTATAGTGGTGCAATGTAACCATAGAACTGACCTCTTTCCCTTACCTGCCCCCTGCGTGATACCCGCCTGCCCCCTGCCTGACCCCACCTGGTCTCAATAGGCGCAGCAGGCGGAGGAGAGAGCCCTATAGTGGTGCAATGTAACCATAGAACTGACCTCTTTCCCTTACCTGCCCCCTGCGTGATACCCGCCTGCCCCCTGCCTGACCCCACCTGGTCTCAATAGGCGCAGCAGGCGGAGGAGAGAGCCCTATAGTGGTGCAATGTAACCATAGAACTGACCTCTTTCCCTTACCTGCCCCCTGCGTGATACCCGCCTGCCCCCTGCCTGACCCCACCTGGACTCAATAGGCGCAGCAGGCGGAGGAGAGAGCCCTATAGTGGTGCAATGTAACCATAGAACTGACCTCTTTCCCTTACCTGCCCCCTGCGTGATACCCGCCTGCCCCCTGCCTGACCCCACCTGGTCTCAATAGGCGCAGCAGGCGGAGGAGAGAGCCCTATAGTGGTGCAATGTAACCATAGAACTGACCTCTTTCCCTTACCTGCCCCCTGCGTGATACCCGCCTGCCCCCTGCCTGACCCCACCTGGTCTCAATAGGCGCAGCAGGCGGAGGAGAGAGCCCTATAGTGGTGCAATGTAACCATAGAACTGACCTCTTTCCCTTACCTGCCCCCTGCGTGATACCCGCCTGCCTCCTGCCTGACCCCACCTGGTCTCAATAGGCGCAGCAGGCGGAGGAGAGAGCCCTATAGTGGTGCAATGTAACCATAGAACTGACCTCTTTCCCTTACCTGCCCCCTGCGCGATCCCCGCCTGCCCTCTGCCTGACCCCACCTGGTCTCAATAGGCGCAGCAGGCAGAGGAGAGAGCCCTGTAGTGGTGCCATGCAACCATAGAACTGACCTCTTTCCCCTACCTGCCCCCTGCGTGATCCCCGCCTGCCCCGTGCCTGACCCCACCTGGTCTCATTAGGCGCAGCATGCGGAGGAGAGAGCCCTGTGTTGGCAACAGGCAACCATTGAGCTCACTGTTTTCTTTCCTCTTTTCCTCTCCCCATCTTGCCACTTCTCAATCTCCCCTACCTGCCTTGTACCTTCCCCCTACCTGTCCCAGTCCTCACTACCTGACCCCCACCTTCCCCTTATCTCCCCTCCACCTCACCCTCATCAGGTGCAGCATGTAGAGGAGAGAGCCGTGTGGTGGCGCCATGCAACAATCGAGCTGACCTCTCCCTCGTACCTGCCCTTTGCGGAGATAACTACTACAACGGGAGCTAGACTACGGGCTAGGCACGGGTGCTCCTGTGATCTCTGCGTTCGTTGGTCCTTAGTCGTTTTCCTAGTGCACACACAGCTTGCTAGTTCACGGGGCAAGTTGGCAAGAGTTTCACTAGAAGAAAATTGACAACAATGGTACAATGAAGTTGGCATGGAAAGCCTATATCAGAGCTAGCATGCAAACAGGTCGACTGCCAGCGCAGCATGGTCGACCGCGTTCCAGCACGTCTTGGTCGACCGCGCTCCAGAAGTGCAAAGTCGACGGCGTGCCAACGTCGCAGGTTGACGGTGTGCCAGCATTGCTCCCGCAGAACAACGGCGCACCTACTTCGCAAGTGCGCGCAAATGATTGGCGCGCTGAGCCTTGTCACCTGCACAGCGCACACACCAAGTCAGCCTGGCGCTGACGACTGCATCTGATCAGCCACGTCGACCTCGGGATACCACCACCGAGGTCGGGCTCGCCAACTTCGCCTGGGCGACCGTCGCACTCCTCCGCAGAACCTCGTCACCTAGGTAACCTGGTCGACCGGGCAACCACGTCGACCAGTTGCTCCCGTACGTGCCCGTCGACCTCCCAAGTCGACGACCACCTCCAAGTCAACCTCACCAGGTCGACCACTCCCATGGTCGACCAGCTCTAGGTCGACGTCACTCCTGGTCGACCAGCTCCACGTCGACCAGCACTCCTGGTCGACCAGCTCCACGTCGACCAGCACTCCTGGCCGACCTGCTCCATGTCGACCAGCGCAGTTGTCAGCCGACCTCCCAAGTCAGCTGCCCAAAGTCGGCGTCACCAAGCTGACGCCCTGCTACTCGACGCCCATCTGCTCGGCGTCCTGAGTCGAGGTCGACGTCAACCCCTCCTCCGTCGACCACCAGGTCTGGTGAACCACCAGCAGGTCGACCAGCAGGTCTGTCAGCCGACCACCCAAGTCGGCTGCCCCAAGTTGACGCCACCAAGTTGACGTCCTCTGCAGGTCGACTTCCCAGGTCGACCTCCCTGGAGTCGGCGCCATCCTGAAGTCGGCGCCCGTGCAGTGGCTCCCGTGCAGGTCGACCTCCTCGTCAACCAGCTCGTCCACTGCTGTAGGTCGGCTGCTCCCCTCACACCCGACCACGAAGTCGGCTCCGCCCAAGCGAGGACGGGGCCAACACACAACTCCCGTTGACACCCTTTACCTGCACTCCCCTGCCTCTATTCCTCACCACCTCCTTTCCCCCGCCTGCCCCCTGCGTGCCCCCCATCTGTCCCCATCAGGTGCAGCTGGCTGAGGAAAGAGCTCTGTGGTGGCGCCATGCACCCGTAAAGCTGAACTCTCCCTCCTACCTCCCCCCCGCCTGCCTTCGGCCTCCCCCCTACCTCCCACCTACCTGCCCCCCTCAGGTGCAGCATGCAGAGGAGAGAGCCCTGTGGTGGTGCCATGCAACAATCGAGCTCGCCTCTCGCATACTGCACTGCACCGCTCTGCACCCTGCTGCACCGCACTCTCCCAGTACTGCTGCTGCCCCTGGTGGTTCCAGAACTCTTGCCAGCCTTACCCGGGCGTCCAAATCCACTTTAGATATTGCTTCTGGTTCCAAAGGTCTTGCTGCTGAATCAGTGTTACCCGATAGTAGCAGCCATGATGTCATGTCTGAGTTGCTATGCAATGAGGGCAATAATTGTGGTTCAGGAGGACAATCGGCAGCAGCAGAGGCACCACCAGCACCAGAAGCAGCAGGTTTTGTGCAAGGCCAGAGCCTTAGCAGCAGCACTGGTGGGTCAATTCAGTCAATCCCGTGTGACTCTATCAAAGGAATGAGTGCAGCAGTCTCGAGTACTCTGCTGCCAATCGCCTCCATTGCCACTGCACTTATAGCGGCAGCAGCGCTGGCAGATTCACCTGAAGCACAGCTGCTGCAGGCTGCAAGGGAGGCGCTGAATAAGGCATTGTGTTTCGAGAATGAATGACTGGCCTAATGCAGCCTGTTACGGCGACACGTGCAAATATTATGGATTTTGCACAGTTTTGCTGTACCAATACCTGCTCTCTTGATGGTAAATTTGACTTGTTGTTGTAGTGGTATGCTTTTTCTGACTCGGCATGATTTCTCCGTGTTTGTATGTCTCTGGTAACTGGTCTGATATGCTATTGCAAGCAATGAGTGAATGGGGTAGATAAAATGAGAGTGAATGGGAGAACAAGAAAGAGAGCCTGACAAACAGCAATGACTCATTGTAACCAGGGTAGTAAGTCACTTTCTGTAGGTGGATATGTGCTCCTTATCCCCCAGGCATTCACCATATCGTTTGCTATAAACGTCAATTTCACTCCCACACAAAGAAAGGCAGCTATCTCGGTTACTGTTTTTTCTTGTTCTTTGTTACTGAACATGATAAAACTTCATAGAGCCATAGTAAATAGCACTCACATGTCTACTTAGCACCCACATGTCTACTTAGCATCCACATGTCTACTTAGCATCCACATGTCTACTTTGCATCCACATGTCTACTTTGCATCCACATGTCTACTTGTCTGTCCCCTCCCCACGAGCCGTGTTGCATAAAATTCAAGATGTGACTTCTGAGTGCAACGTAGTCCTTCCTTCCAGAAAACGCGCATGTGCTGCCGTCTATCATGCAAGCAGCCAAGCGAAGCCAGCAGCCATGGTGATGGCAGTGGCAATGTAGCCTGCCAAAGAGAAGCACAGCAACAAACAACATTCATTCAGCCACTCCGTTACAGTCACAAGAGGGAAATAGAGACGCCAAAAAACAAACAAACGAACAAACAAAACAAAAAGTGGGTGCCATAAATCGGAGTACAAGTTTACTGTACCGAGCTTGATCGAAGAGGCGGAAGCAGCTTTGCCAGTGGTAGAGATAATATCAGTAGGCTGCGCTATCAGGCCTGTGGAGGCAGATATCATGGTTCCATTCTTATATGCAGTCAGGTCTCCAATAGTCACCGCCGAGCCGTCCGAGTTAGGAACAGGTTTAACCGGATTCCCACTGGCATCTGCGAAGGTCCTGTCCCGTTACTGTACATAACGGTGCCGCCAATGAGGGTACCACCATCGGAGTGCTGACCATAGACCACGCT